ACAGGGTCATGAGCTCCACCTCAAGCTTGTCAGTCAGACCAGGCCCTCAGCCATGTGAGCCGCCAAGGGCAGTCTAGTGGCAACTAAAAAGACACGTTCCTTCTGGGGTGCCCTTGCTTTCCTTTCTTTTGAGGGTGCTGAGGCACACCTTACTTTAGCTGACCTCCAGTGACTAGGCCCTATAGGTGCGAGGATTGGGTCAGGGTGGTGAGTCCTGCAGCTACAATGTGTAGGGGGAGACAGGTAGGTAAGCTCCCAGCGCCCTCAGAGCTGCCTCAGAGCCAGCGGCACTCAAGTCCTCAGCACTGATTACTGTCACGTCAGAGCAAGCTTGGTGCCCTAGTATCACTTAGGAATCTGAAGATTACAGTAGTGCAGCAGGAGAACTAAAAAATGGGTTCCATGGAAACAAACATCCGTCAGCTGTCACGAAGAATTATTTACTTGTTGGGTATTTATAAACGACAACATTTAATGCTAAGTAAACACTGCTACATTTTCAAAAACTTTCAGTGCAGAAATGAGGGCTGACAGTCACAAATGGGTTGTCACCCTCACCCACACACCCTGTTGGAGGGAGCCAGGAAACAGCTGGCCCACTGCAAGCCATTTGGCCTGTAGTTTCTTACCTCAGAGCTGAAATCTATTTTTGGTCTAGACAAACCCAAGAGGCAAGAGCACGTGAAGTATAGCACTGGCCCTGCTCTGCATCTGTAGGAGCTCTTACATAACCCTCAGACCCTGTTCAGTCAACGAGCAAAGAGCCACACCAGCATGCCCCCTGAAGCCCACCCGCTAGTGAGGGAAGGCAAACAGACCTGGGATACAGTACCCCTGGCCCATCCAACCTGAGGTCAAGGACAGCACACACACGCACGCACGCACGCAGCAGGCACTTCCGTGTGTGACCTGCTTTCTGTGCCTTAGGCAGCTCTGCAGACAGAGGTGGCCTGCTCTGTCACTGTAGACATTGCCTCTGGCCATGGCCAACCAATGGAAGAGTGGTGCCAACCATTTGGGAGATGCACAATTTAAAAATAATAGTTAATGATTTAAAAGCTAGGTGAAATACATTTTAACTGAATATATCCCAGCTTATTACAGTATATAATCAAAAAATAAAAAGTGATTGTGACAGGGCACATTTCAACCTGAATAGGCCCCATCTTTGGTATTTGGTGCCCAGGTGACTCGTGATTGCCATGGAGGTCAACAAGAGTCTGGCAATGAATATGGTGACCTCTGCAGCCCTTTCCTTGGAATTCTGCGGATGAGGGGTTTCCATACATAGCCAACCAGGGCTCCAGGCTTCTAGTTCCTGGTGACAAAGCTGCTTTTACTGAATCTGTCATGTTAAGTTGCCTATCTGAAGTCTACAGCATTCCACAGCTCCTAACCCGGAGTCAACATTCATTCAAGGCCCTGATTTTCTGTGGTGTGGTCAGGAGGCCAGGGGAACCAGCCCTTAATGTCCACCAAGCCAAGGTGAGTGCACTTAGGTCTCCTCAACCAATGGGTCATATCTATCTTTCAACTGTAATCCCACTCAACCGTCAGAGAACTGGGCTCTGGTCAGTAGGGGTTCACTTCTGCAGCGTCAACCCTGGCCATGGAGTGGAGGCCAGGAAGGACCTGGGGCTCCACCACAGACAGGAACAGCTCTCTTGGTTAGTGGACCTGGCCCCGTGGTCACAGGCTCCTGCGTAACCTGGCCTGCTGGGTCCCTGGGTTAGCAGGATGCTTCACACTCCTAGAAGACTGTGTGAAACCAGCACAGGCCACCAGAAACTGAAAACTCTGTGCAACAGGGAAGGGCCTCAGCACAGGGCCAGACTGGGATGGGTCAGAGCCTGCCCTATACCAGTACCCAGGTCAAGACTGCCTCGCTTGGTTACTAGTCATCAGGACAGTGACCTCAACACTTGTTATAGGGATGGGTCTCTGCAGGACGGAGTGCGGGCACTGTGATATGGAGTGGGTGTGGTGAGGCTGGGTATGGTGGTACAGGCCTGTAATCACAGCACTTGGGAGGGGGAGGCAGGAGGATCAAGAGTTCAAGGTGACCTTCAGCCACGTAGCAAATCTCAGGCCAGCCAGGGTTACAGGAGACCCTGTATGAAGCCCATTCCCCCAAAGCAAGAGAATGTAAAATATGCCCTGAGTAAGGGTGAGTCCCACTGAGCTACACCCCAGCCTGTCACCAGCAGCCCAGGCTTTAGTGTAAAGACGGGGGTAGTCACACCACTAAACAGTGCGAGGCAGCGTCAAGGGGAAAGAGTCTCTCTCACGCTAAAGCACAGTGGTCCTGCAGCCCTTCTCCAGGCGGGCGGAGTCGCTTTACTTCATCATCCTGATTCCTCCGCTTGGGGATGGGCGAATCAAGATCAGCATACAGGAAGAACTGTGTGCCTGCTAGGGATGTGCAACACAGCCAGCATAGCACCTGTGTGCAGGCTTCACGAAACTCAAGCGAAGGGTATCTCCAGCAGAGAATCTGAACAATGTCCCCCAGTCCCAGGGACGAGGACAACTCTGGAACCTACGTTGCCAACATTGCTGGATATTTCATTTCAAAATTACACAACAGAATATTCCTGGTCTTGGTCTGGGTTGAGATTCTCATTTACAATAAATAAATACAGTGCTAATAGTATTAAGCCTTATTCTACCAGGATATACAATAAAACCAATACTGTGCCTTAAAAGCTAGCACAACCAATGGAGGAGTCCTTTTTCTGCCTGGTGGATGCTGCTGATGGGGACTATAATTGGTCGGGTGTTATACTATGCAAAATGTCCTGAAGGTCTGTTGGGCCCACATTGGCCTCCAGCCATGGGTTAAGGGAGGACGGCCCTGTCCCTGAATCCAACCACCTTCGGCCATAAACATCCGATAGTGCCTCAAGGACACAATGTGGGATAAGGTATGGAAGGTGGGGCCGGATGCCAGCTCATCTCTGCATCCACCTAGCCGTTCAGTCCCTCAGCCCCAAACAAAGTGACACACAGACCAGCAGGCGGACTGAGCTGCCCCTGAGAGCTGTGGGAAAGATGACCACAGAAAGAGAGTGGCCCGTTGTCCCAGCGCTCCACCAGACACTAGAGCAGTGACTCCTCCCCCCAAAGCAATTAAAGGATGCCTCTTTAGACGGGGCCCTATGAGTACCATCCCAGGTGCCTGGGTGTGCTCCCCTTACCTGTCTGAGCTTAAGGATCCATTATTTTTGTTTTTGTTTTGTTTTTTTTTTTTTTTTGGTTTTTCGAGACAGTGTTTCTCTGTGGCTTTGGAGGCTGTCCTGGAACTAGCTCTTGTAGACCAGGCTGTTCTCAAACTCACAGAGATTCGCCTGCCTCTGCCTCCCGAGTGCTGGGATTAAAGGCGTGCGCCACCAACGCCCGGCAAGGATCCATTATTTTATTATACACACTCTACATAAAAGACCAGAGAAAACCCGGAAAGAAAGCCCAGTTCTGTGGAAGTTCCACGAGAGAGGCCAGAGTACCTAGACTCAGTGAGATGGGTTTAGGAGGCTCAGTATCATGGGTATTGGCTTCAGACTTACTGTCCTGGGACCCTAGGTCCTGCTGGGTCATGGGCTTTGTCCCCTGGTTAGCCTTGACTACCCACTGACAGCCACACTGAGGGTGGTACGAGGGGGCTACACACCCTGATGGGAACAGGGAAAAGCAACACTCGTTACAGACATCTAAGGAAAGAGAGTGACAGGTGCAAGCGATGGAGGCTTCCCCGAGCTCATGCACTAAGAGAGCACCCGCCAGCTAAGGCCTCCGTCCAGTGACCCGCTGGGCCCTGAAGCCTGCCACAGGGTTTCCAGAAGGGTCTAAGCACTCCCCGGCTCATCCCTTCCAGGAGCTGCCCACCCAAAGCAGAGGCTGGTTTCAGAGGCACAGCCCCAGGGCAGAGGCACTGCTATAGAGCCACTAACTGACAGGGTACCCACATCCACAGGAGCCCCACACCAAGCAAGGGACTGGGAAAACAACTTTCTCCAAGTACAAAGAAGCGATGTTTTTTGTTAAAAAATCAAATGGTACGGTTTTCTTTAAACAAAACGGAAAATGCTGTTAGCCTCTATTAGGCTTTAGAGCTACGTAGCGCTAAGGAAGGGCCCCCTGTGCTGCTCTTGTGTGTGTGTGAGGGGGGCACTTTGACCTACAGGTTTGAACATTTCTCCTACTTGGCAGCACATAGCCAGCTCGATCTGCACCCAGAGTCAGGCAAGAAGGAAACTCCCTGGAACTCACCGGCCTGGAGGAGAGGCAACTAGGCAGGAGTCCCGTATCTCAGGGAACAAGGGCTGATGGGAGTGGGAGCACCACGGGCCCAGGAGGACTTGCTGGGCCAGCTCGCTCCCGCCTTGTCACTCCGTCAGGGACCTTTGGTTTACAGTCTCCGTGTGCAATTCCTGCCCGTAAGCATCCGGAGATGAGGTGACCAGTGAAGGACTCACTGGGGGACAATGCTTCCGGAGCAGCAACATGCACGGCTGAGCCACCTATTCCCCAGGCAAGTGTCACCTGCCTGCCTGCTCCCTTGTAGCTCCAGTTGCACTGGGCTCTAGGTGATGACAGCAGCTGTCCCCAAGCACAGAAGCCCAGCAGGGGTGAGGTGGGAAGAGCTCCTACAGAGGCTCACAGTGCCCTTGGCTCACTAGGCTGCCTAGGTGGCCGCAGAGCCAGCTGGAAGCCCAGCTACCTTCAGAGAGTTAACATTCACATTGCATTGAAACCTTTTCGCACTCAGAGAGAATCCCAGTGCCTCATTCAGACAGGCTCATACAGATGCCCAGTCAGCATTTCTTCTAGTCAGCTAACTGTGACACACAGTCAGTAGGGAGAGTGGCTTCCATGCTTATCTGTTTTATAGACATTAACAAGGCTCTTAATTTTACAGCGCTTAACAGCTTTTCTTTTTTGGTTCACTGAGATTCTTTTTTGTAAAACTTAGATGTGAAAATGACTATTGAAAATTATCTACATTTACAATGCATTCACACGTTTATTCAATGTCAATATACAGAGGACAGCCTCCAGAATGTCAAGTATGTGGTAAGTCTCTTTTGCTGTGACAGTGACAAGGAACAGCTAAAAACAAAGCCATGAGACAGAAACATGGTTCTTAGAATTAAGAAGTAACAATACTGATATTCAAGCTTCATTAGTTATTGCAACATTAGGAGCTCAGCTTCCTGGTATTTCACAGCAGGAGGGCTCTTCATGAAATTTGTTCAAGTTGTGAAGAGATCAGATGAAAATGTAAGAAAGGAAACACACATTTACCTTGACTCTCACTGAAGATAAATATCCATACAACTTTACACAACGTTACCTAATAACAATCTTTAAAACCCAAGTACACAGAAGGTAAAATGCAGGAATTGAACCAAGACACAAAGGTAACATAACAGTTGCAGCACGTATGGAAAACTCGGCCTCAATGGGACAGTTGCTCCATCAGAAGAGTGTGTTCTTACAATTGAACTTGGGATCTGAGTCTCAAGGTAACAGTTGAATACAAGTATTTTTCCACAGGAGCGCAGGCAATGCCACACTGATGTCTCCTCTCCCTGGGACACCACCTTGTTAACCTAAGCCAGCTTTGTGGTGGCGCAGCCCCAAGGCAGACAGCATGCTCTGGACAGAAACAGGGCCTGGTGGGTGTGGTGACCCGTCCATGCATCCCCAGCCTTAGAAACCAAAATCCAACCAGAGGCCTTCAACTCAGTATCAAACCTCGCAGAAGTGCATGGAGGCTCCGTGGGTGAGGGTTAGGGTTCAACGGTGGACACACGTGCCTCAGTGTGCAACTGGCCCTGAGCTGAGTGGCTTAAGGGCCCACGGACCCTTCGGCCACGACTGCCCACAGCATAGCCTGCATTCCAGCACCAGCCACGGGGAAAGTCACCTCTAAGCTCTGTTCTAGATTTCCCTCAAGTGTCAGATCACTGGTGGTGGCCCTGGGGGTTTCCACAACACTCTTTTCTGGCCCTACACGCCCAGTGTCTTGTTAACCCTCACACTTTGAGCTTGCTCAACAAAGGAAACACCTCCCTCCCGCCAGAGAGAAGACCTTGCACACAGGGAGGGACAAGCATGTGCTAAGGCAGACTCACTCATTTAGCACAGATGCAGTATGTTAAATTTGTAACATTCAGAATGTATCACAGGGTGTGGAAGGATGGGGAGAGACGGCTGTCAGACAACTACACCTTGGGTGTTTTAAGACAAACACCGGAGGGAGGGGACTGCTGGCCACCACCTGGGGTGGGATGTGTGTACACATCCACAGAGACTGAAGTTTTATAGCCCTTGTCACGCCTACTTTCAGAATGTCTCTGGGACACTTGTGGCTTCTTTCTCGCTCCACCTCTGGGCTTTTCTAGAAGCATCCTCTCTTCATCCTGACCTCCTGAACAACACACAAACGAAAAGCTCTTCACGCTGTGCAGGTTAATGAGGAGTCCAGTTTCTCTCTAGGACATCTGCTGTTAGAACAAGGCACAACTTCTAGGCCTCACAGGAGGACCAGTATGTGGCTCCCAAGTACAGTGCCTGACTGGCAGCTGGTGAGTCCCTTGGCTGAGCTCCTCACACCAGATGCACAGAAAGAGGAATGTGGGAATGGGTGTGGCTGATTGGCCATAGCTCCCGTGCAGCTGGCCCAAAAGGCTGCCTGCCTGTGGTGGGCAAGCAGGACGGACGAGAGGCTCTACCTGTGCTGTGGTGTCCTCGATGGGGCCCAGCAGGACTCTGGACAACACCACGTGGACTTGACCTCTGCCTCTAAGAGCCTCTTCTTGACAAAAGCTGTTTTATTCCAGGGGCTAGTTACCAGAGACATTCTTGCTCATGAAAATGCTCAACTGGGAAACGGGAGTTTTGATGAGGAAGCTCAAAGTTTGTTGAGAAAACTAAAAACATACTCCCCAAATGTCTCTGGGTGGCTACTGTGGAAGCAGGTGGTCCTGTGCCTCATTCTTTGGAGCTCAGGAACCACCATGACACAACCCCATTTTACCCCACCACCTCTGTCTGCAGAGCACGAGGAGGAAGGAGCCCGCCCTCCAGCGCCCTCTTCTGGAGCTGCCGCACCTTTAGTTCTGGTCTTGGAGAATACCTTGCACTCTGTCCTCCTGCCTGCAGAACTGCTCTGCTGGCTGTCAAAGAAAGGGGGCAGGAGTCAGTCAGGGGGGCAGAGTGGGCTGTGGGCAGCACTGCCCTGCATGCAGGGGCCAGCCTGGGCCAGGTCATGCAGCTAAGACAGCCCCTCTAGAGCTGACCCTGGGCTCTTACCAATCCCTGAGCCCGGCAGGGGAGCCCAGGAGATTAAAAGACACCGCAAGGGGCCCCTGAAAGTTTCCAGAATAGACATTAAGGATACTACCCTTAGCAGCAGAAATTGGAGGAGACTGTGACCAAACCCCAAATCACAAACTGTGACATTACCATGGGGACGGAGAACGAATTCACAGGCCTCTATCAGACAATACAGCTGAGGCCCGCTTCTCGTTTTCCTTTAAAGGAAAAGTCTCCTGTTCTGCTCTCCCCACCAGCAAGTGACTCTTAAGTCATCCTGTCAGCGCCCAGGAGATGGGGCTGCGAATACTACCAGGGCAGGAGACCTGTAAGTGCCCATTATCTGCTGGGTGCAAGAGGGCACATGTGACGGCTCCCCTGCCAGCCAAGACTGCTTCAGAACTGAGACATTACCACAGGGTTCACCATAAACACTACTTACCCATGACTGGCCATTCTATTTAGGCAAAACACAACATCCTGAATTTGGAAACTGCATACTCAATGCCTCAGAAGCATTTGAAAGTGAATTTCGGAAACTACACATGGAGTGTTCATTTCTAACCTTTCCACCTGGCAGCCCAATCTGACCTCTCCAGTCCAGAAGTCTACATGGTGGCAGTCTTTGCTACCCAGATCAGCTGACCCTAAGAACTGAGGAGTATATGGGGCATGAGCACCCTGGTGAAGAGCTGCTCCGGGGCATAAAATGCCTTGGCGCGCAGGGCGACACCCTGGAGGCTGCTGTATCTCATAGGCAGCACATTTCCGTGGCTGTCTGGCTGTCACATAAACAGAAGCCACATTCCAGGGGAAACAGGATAGGGATGGGGGCACGGGTCCAGCCATGAACAAGTTGGAGCATGGGAAGGGGCCTGGGACCTGGCCTGGCCTCTGGAGAGGGAAGCCAGGTAGCTGTCTCCTAGAGTCTTGACACCACGGAGACATAATGCCACAGTCACTATTCAATACAAATGATCATTACTGCTATAGTTAACTACAAAGGTGCACCAGACAGAAAAATAATCCTAAATGTTCTAAATAAATCAACAAATAAAATTCCTTATTTTGACACAAAATACCCAGCTCAAAGAACTAACTACCCTCCATTGTGGAAACCAGAGCTTGGGAGAAATTCCTTAAGCAGCTGAGCAGAAGGTAAGCAGTAAGAAGCAAACTGCAATCCCCACTGCTTTCCTGCCACAGGGGCAGGCCACACAGCACTGCTCCTGGAGGGACACAGGCCCCAGGGCCCCAAGGGAGGCACTCAGAGTAGATCTGAGTCCTGCACCAGTGTCTGTCTCCAAGAGCCCTCCTGGACTCACAGCTGCCATCCAAGAACACGAGGGGTGGGTATGCCCTATGCTTGCCCATGGGGGAACTGAAGCCCCACCAATGCCCTGTCAGAAGGTGTCTTGTAGCCTGGGTAACCTAGCAGTCCACACAAGCAGAACTGAGGAGCCTGCCCCTGACTTTCAGCCGCACCTTCCTGACCCCAAAACAACCCCCCCAACAAAACAGACAGAACCTCCTTTTCCCCATTGGGAAAACCCCAAGCCATGCACATCTAATACAGAGGTCATGGCTGATGTGGCAAGAGGCCCTTCTGAAAGCTGCGGCTGCTACCCTTGGCCACAGCACCCTAACCGTCCAGGCTCTGGGACATATGGAGAGTTTAGTGCACAAATGCAATCAGAGTTCTACAAACTGCTTCTTTGAAAAAAGATGTTTATTAAACAATTTTAATTGTCATAAAATGACTAAAATGGGTTTTAAAAATTAAGGCTCTTCTCTTTCTGTGGATTGCCAGACAATGTAAAAATAATATCAATCAACCCTGATGAACGCGTTGTTCCTAAGTCAGATTTCATAGATTCCTACACAATTTATGATTGAAGATAAAAAGTTGGACTATAAATGATAATTAGTGGCCATCTGTACTGAACATACACTGACCAGGTGTACAACAGTCTAGTTGAGCAGTATGCAAAAACATCCCAGTTAAAGCATAAATTTTGACTTTAGCATTTTAATGTCCTTACTTCTCCACAATGTCATGATTTATCTGTTAACTGGAATGCTAACTTTGGGACTCTATATATCCACAGGGATGACTGACTTGGCTGGCAATTAGTCTGATTATATATTTTAAATGCTCTAAGGTGGGTTATCAAATGATTCGGAATTACATGGCATGCAGTATCCAAAATTATGGCTCTGATGCATTTAGATTTACATTAACAAGTGTCATTCACATTCATTGTACATCCCACCCCTCCCACAAGAAAAAAAATCACTACCTAGTCAAGTTCTAGATCTGGTGCAGCATTAAGGATTAAAACTTACCACTTTACCAGGCCTTGCCCATGTGCAAATAAATCCCTCCTGACAAGCAGTGACTATACAGTCTTCAAGAAAAACCAAGACAGCCAGTCTTTCATGGGCTATCTTTTTACAGATCAGCGGCTCTAACAAGGGGACATCTTCCATCCGAGGACACAGGGATGTTCCCAGAGTTTTAGCAGGGTCCGTTTTGGCTTTAGTAACTAGATTCAATTTGTCACTGCTCTTGCTGGAAATGTGTCCCATACTATGATTTCGTTTATGGTCTTTTTCATGGTGTCTCTCCTTCCGGTCGTGCAGCGACAGAGTTGCAAACTTGCTGACCCCAGAGGCAATGGCCCCGTCCATGACGCTGCTTTTGCTACCAGCATTGGAGACTGCTGAATGTGGAAGGCTATTGGACCGTGGCAATGGAGGAGGTACAGAGTTCCCAGGTGTAGTGACACTGTTCCCATTGCTTCCGGCAGGCGGACTTGTGGCATTCATGACATTTGTATGTGTCCTTGCTCTTGAGAGGGGTTGGTGAGGGAAAAGGATGTCTTCTGTAAGGTCCCATAAACACAGTTGTGTATCCTGACCCACTGAACCAAACCGATAGGTAACACTTACAGGGCGGCTGTCTGTAGAGTTCCGTTTGGACAGCCTGGACTGTGTACTGTTTGCTCGATCTCTGCCAAAATGAAGAAGGTCCTGGAAGTCCTCGTCACTGCCACTAAATTCCATAGGGTCACTTTCTTCTACACTAGTGGTATAGGGGTCAAATGCTACAACACTGACCCAGGATTTGTGCCCATGGCCTCTAGCTATTACTCGGCAGTCTAGAAAGGACCAGACTGTTACCAAGTCGTCCTCCCCCCCTGTCACAATGTACTTGCCATCGGGGCTCCAGCACACACAAAGCAAGCCCCCAAAGTAGCTCTTCATTGTGCCGTGCAGCTCCACTGAGTCAAAGCTGAACACACGCAGAAACCCGTCCTGGCTCACACATGCTAAGAACTTGCCATCTGGGGAGAAAGCAAACTCGTTGAGGGCCCCCTCGCCCACCGTCCACTTAAGGAGAGGGTTCCTCGTGGATTTGCTCTTGCAAGTGTGCACGGCAAAGCTCTCTCCCTGCTTCAGAAGCTGGTAGTGGGGGGCCGTGGTGCCACAAGTGTGCTCCACATTATACAAGTACATGCTCCCACTTGAATGGGCTACTAGGAAAAGGCTTTCCGAACCAGGAACCCATTTGACACAGGTTACGCGTGACTTGTCTATTAGTCTCTGTGAAGACAAAGGAGAACAAGTTATCACAACGGAGAAGTTAAGGTCTACTTTTCCAGAAAAAAACTTGTCTGCGTCTTGGCAAGAAGGGACGAGTCCATTCAGGCCCTCCACATCTATCCTGTGTCAGCCAGGCCAACGAAGAGCATGGCCCATCCCGCCCCATTCTAGAGCTGCACCGGGGTGTCAGTCCCCTGACAAATATGTGCCGAGGGCTTCCTCTGTGCCAGGGCCCAGGTCCAGGGCACACTGGTGTGAGACAGCCCTTGGCCCTTACAGCACACAACTGAATGTTTCACTACAGCTGGAGGCTTCCTCTCTACGGGAACTCATAGGACAAGTGTCAATTCTTACAGTTTTCTTTGCCTTTGTCACTGCAGACCATGGGCTGACTATATGGCCCCTTTTTGTGGCTGATCCAGGGCAAGTAGTCACCTGCAGCCTGTGACCAGCAGAACACAGGCCCTGAAAACACACTTCTTGGGCAGGATTCAGCCCGGGACTCACTGTGTCTTCACTCACTCCAGACTGGCTTGTGAGTATCTTAACCACATCTCTCAGACTCGGGCATCTGTGCTCCGCCACTATCAATTTAGTCCACGATCACCTGTGGTTCACTGCCCTAGCTGCCTCTTCAACTGCATGTATAGTCTCATCTTTAAAATCAACCAACAGAAACCAGGCATGAACGCCACTCAGATGTAAGGAAGGGGTACCCTTCTCTGTGCAGACCCTGCTATAGGGCTCATCAGGGTACAGACCCTCTACAGGCTACAGAACTCACCACATGTCCCAATCCTGCCCCGAATCCCTTCCACCCGGTGCTCTCTGTTACTCCTATACTCGTTACTGGGACAGTCCCAGGGGCTTAAGCGCTACCATGTTACCTAGCTGACTGGGGTTCCCCAACAAGAATCTCAGGGCACACCGGTATGGACCTGAGCTACAGACCCCTGTGCAATTGCTTTGGCGACCATGTAACAGCAATACATGCTGTTTGTTTTGTAGACGACGACAGGAATGGAATGGTTTTTGACTTTTAAAAGGAGGACTGGAAGGTGGGATGCAGCACACATGAGGACCTGGGTTCGTAGACAGCACTAGCTACAACAACAACAGTAAAGAACAGGACAGAGAAGAAACTGTGAGCTCACTGCATGGAAACAAGACCTCAGAAGGAATGAACTGCCAACAAACTACTCCGACAGAGAAACCCAGCAGCCTGCTTGCCCACAGTACAGAGGCTGGCCCTTCCCATGCTGGGGCTTGCCCACAGTATAGAGGCTGGCCCTTCCCATGCTGGGGCTTGCCCACAGTATAGAGGCTGGCCCTTCCCATGCTGGGGTTTGAGCAGAGAGTGCGAGCTATCACTGTTTGCTGGCACAGAACAGCATGGCTGGCGTCCTAAGCCAGTAAGTACTGCCTATGGGAACAGTCACTGGTTTCATTCCCTGGCTCTCACTTCCTGCTTGGTGACCTGCCTGTCACCTAAACACCTCATACTGCTCTGCAGGATTCCCATTAGACCATTTCATCGTTTCATAAATTATGCAACTTCTCAGCAAGGGATCAGGCAACTTTCATGGCGAGATCACAGCCTTTGGGGGAGAGGGTGTTAGGAGGGTGCAGAAATGAAGAGACCTCCATCCTCTTCAGGAGCTGAAGGCTCATTATCGACTGTCTACTAGGTCAGATTTCTCCGGCACTCATTCACTGAGCCCAGGGACATGATGACTCTGCTAGGTGGGCTTGCACAGGTAACTTGGTTTAAAGCCAGACTACTATCCTGATCCTAGCCCAGTTTTCCCAATCACTATGACCCCATTATATGTGGACATTTTTAAGGCTTCTAGTAGTATGATCAGGTGTAAATTTTTACCTACAACCTAAAAAAAAGTACAACAGAAAAATCCCACTGGTACACAAAGAAGTGTAACCCTGGTAAGAAAGGAAGGGCTGTCACGTGCTGCTGAGGTACAAACAGCAGTGACAGCACCTTCAGTGGGTGCTGCTGCGGTGACCAGGTGCACTGCAGAGCAATCTCACCCCTCACTAAAATGTGCACTCCAACACCTCTAAGCCAGTCTGTGGATGTAACTGACAGAGAACCTGCACCGCCGTGATCTGTAACTGCCCACAGTATGCAGACCTAACTGCTGGCCCTGGGGACTGGGCACACCAGTATGAGCAATGGCAGACCAAAACCAAAAGTCAGGGCATGGCATAGCAAGAGGGCAGGCAGGCCTCACTTCTGAAGACCTGAGGAGCTATTCTGGGTGCCAGGCACTGGCAAGAGGCTTTACACCCACTCTCTAATGCTCCAAATGCTTCACCAGTCAAAGCACCCATGTTCACATGCATGACTACAACAGAAAGCCTCACTTGACTCCCTTCCTGCACTCAGGACCTGCTGCCCCAGTCACTGGGATTAGCTCATCTACCCAGAATGCCTGCTTACATAACTGCAAATATTTCAACTCTCACCTCCGGTTGCCTTTCAATGATGTAACCTGTGCATGCCAAACTGCGCCCCCCACCCCACCCCCAAAGATATTTGCCCCGTGAAGAGACAAAAGTCAAACTTGTCTGAAATTCATCGACTCAACCAGCACTGAATGCATCCCATATGTCAGACATCGATACAGCATCAGTTAAAACTGCCATCCCTTCCTACATGGTAGACGTTGTGTGATGAGGAAACCACTGTGGAAGAGACAGGAAGGGAAGGCAGAGTGCTGGGAATGGGATGTCCGTCGGGCACACAGCACGAGTGAGCTGGGGAGACACAGGGACAGACGAGGAACAGTCGCAGGAGCTCCAGAGCTTGTGACAGCAGAGCTGTGCTACTGAGAGGGACTGCAAACCGGGTGGCGTCTTCAGTCCACAGCCTGGAGAGCAGCCTGCCATGCCCACTAGCAAAGCTTCTCTGCGGCGGGTGCCAGTCTAGCTCAGACCCCACAGCAAGTGAGAGATACAATCCTTGACCAGGGGTCACCTGACTTCAGTTATTCTAGGTCATTATTAGTTTGAGTGTAACAGAGAAAGAATGAAGTGTCCTATGCCTATCATTCAAAAATGGAAACTCCTGAGACATTTTACTCAATAGATATAAGATTAAAAATTACAGACAAAAGGTGGGCATTGTTGGCTAGGCTACATATGGAGCACCATGCCAGCTTGGGGAGATGGCAAGACTCTCAAAAAAATTTTTAACACAGCCCAGCCTCTGCACAAAAAAGATTACATTTTTATTTTAGAAAATAATTCCTTTTTATATCCTATAGTGAAATATTCAGATGTACGAGATAAAACACAATGTATTCTTAAAATACCTTTGCCCAATTGTCATCCTTTGAAAATCTGAGTGCACACCTGCAGACAGTGGGGCATCAAAGGCTCTGGAAAGGGGAGTGACAGGGGATCCCAGCACGAAGAACAGAACGAAGGTCAAGTGGGGACGGGGTCAGGAGGCCACGGGTCTTCAACCTCGCCATGGTAATGCGCACATCTGTTAACAGTCAATGTGCTAGCAGGAGTGAAGGTGTGGTGATGAGGGGAGCACACAAAGCCCAGGGCACAGCTGGAAGGTCAGTCTACAGCTGGGGAAAACGAGCAGGGAAGTGAGCCAGGCAGCTGGAGAGCAACACAAGCCTGTGGCACCTGGGATCTCCAAGGAAGACGGTGCAGCAAGGTGGGGTGTGGAACTCTGGGAAAATCTTCCCAGAGGGAGCACAGCAAGGCCAGCTTGTCATTTTCACTATGGTGATCACAAAGCTCTCCAAGAAAGAGCTAGTTTCCAAAAGACTCAGAGCCCATTTCCAAAACTACCTTTGTGAAAATAAAAACCTAACCCAACTCACAGCTAAAGCACAACAGAACACTGACATTCAGTGTCTGCATGAGTCCTTGGAGCACTGGGCCAGAGCTCACCCTTTTCTAATACTGGAAGTCAGATCAACACGTCCATCCCAGAGAGTACTGAAGGAAAACATCACACCACACAAGGAAAAGGCACCATGCCCACTGCATCAGCAGAGTCTCTACATACTAGTTAGAAGGGAACAAGAACAGAAATGTGCAGCCACATCAAAGTGTCAGTGATAAATTGATTTGAATTGGAGTTTTCTGAAGCGTTTCATTTTATTTATTTTTCTTACTTCTACTAACATAACAAGCAGAAAAAATATTTGGGGGTGGGTATCCATTTTACAATACAGATATTAACTTGTAATAAAAATACTAAAACAATTTTAAAAATATAAATATAACAACTGTTAGAAAGCACAATGTAAAAACGCTTAAAAAAAAAAAGCAACACTGGAGCGGGTTGGAGCTCTTCCTCGGAAGTATAGAAAAGGATACTTCAAAGCCACCAAGAAAGGACTAGATATCATTTTTACCAATGTTGAAACTTTAAGTAGTAGATAACAGTTGCTCATTTCCTTCCATCAATTAAAAAAAAGCAATAAATCCAAAAGTGATATAATGCTCACCCTCTGCAAGAGAAGAGCATACTCCACCATCGGTCAACCCCAAACTTTGTTTATTTAAAGACGTTTTTATTTTTATTAAGTGTATGTGTGCATCTGTCTGAGGATACCCAGGGAAGACAAATTTGGGCCTTCTAGAAGAACAACAAGTGCTCTTAACCACTAAGTCATCTCTCCAGGTCCAATATTTAAAGTGTGTGTGTGTGTGTGTGTGTGTGTGTGTGTGTGTGTGTGTGTGTGTTATCCAGAAATCCACAAATGGCAGGTCAAAGGACAACTGTGGGAGCTGGTTCTCTCCTTCCACCATGCGGGCCACAGGTTTGGTGGCAATGGCCTTTACCAGCTCTGCCATCTCTGAAACCTAGTGGTTTCATTCCTCAACTTATAGTAGCTATAATTATCTGCATGGTATCTCCACAAAGACTGGACTCCTTAGCACCTGTCTCATGGAAGAGGGGAGAGCTCATGGAGACCCATCCAACCCTGTGAATTTCTATGCATTAAGTAGTT